AAAAAAATTCAAGAAATTTCAAGACACCTGTCGTCGAAACAAATCCAAAAATGAAAATTTTCCCTTTAAAAAAATCAAAAATATTTTCCCCGAAGGAACGAAGCATGAGTTTACTTATTGCATCGTCACCAACTTTCATTGTTCTTGTCAAGAAAATTAATCTCTGGGTAGACGTTATCTAGACTTAACCGTTCAGGTAGATCAAATATACCGACTAAATCAAGTCTACCCGGTAGATCATGTCTATCAGGTAAATTAATCTTACTAGATAGATCAAGCCTACCTAATCTATCAAGTCTACCTGGCAGATCAAGCCTGTCGGGTAGATCAAATATATTCGGTAGATTATGTCTACCTGACATAAAATCTACCCGGTATATTAAGCCTAGTCGAATGCTCAAATCTACCTCATAGATTAAGTTGACCTGATAGATCAACTCAATCCAGTCTACCCGATAGATCATGTCCATCAGGTAGATTAATCCTACTAGATAGATCAAGTCTACCTAATCTATCTACTCTACCTGGAAGATCAAGCCTGCCGGGTAGATAAAATAGATCCGGTAGATTGAGTACATCTGGTAGATCGAATATATTCGGTAGATTATGCCTACCTGACAGATAAAATCTACCCGGTAGATTAAGTCTAGTCGAATGCTCAAATCTACCTCACAGATTAAGTTTATCTGATAGATGAAGTCTACCTGGTAGATTAAATCTGCCTGACCGATTGCATCTACCTGTCAAAGACCGGTAATTGATACCCATGAAAAAAAAGACACTGACACACCACAAAACACAAAAAAAATATATATAAAAATTCCAGAAAAAAAAAAGTAACAAAAAATTTCTTCATTGTATGTAAATAGTAGACGCACGCTTACGTTTAGGTGAATAACGGGTAATTAATTTCTATTATTTTATTGATTAATTCGAACGGAATTGAAAAGAACAGACATTTACATTTTTTATACGCTTTCATTATATCTTTCTCTATTACCACTCACCGTATGTGTTTAGATAGAGGCTGGCTTTTTATTTATCTCATTCACCCGTTTAACATTCGGCAGACACACAAATAAATTAAAAAATAATGTGAATTGATATGAAAAATTGATGACTAAATTTTTATCATGATTAGTTTCTGTTACACGCCATTGGTTTTATCGTTGCGATTTTTCTCGTCACATTATTATTGAATATCTGTATCACCATATTATCATGCGGACGTTGTCACGTTCGATCCCACGGATGACCGACATTTTTTGAATTTAAATTCAGTTTTTTCATTGAAATTCTGGTGTTGAGTGAATTTTTTACCGTTGAATTTCGTTATTTTTTTTTCATTTTGTATTTTTTAAGTTTTTGAATTTCTCGGAAAGGGCGGTAAATTTTCCATCAAATTAAAAAAAACAACCCGTTTTGTCCCAGTGTTTTCTAAGTTACGAGCGAATGAAAATTTTGCGAGGCGAAATTTTTTTTTTCAACTTGGAAATTATTGATGTAAAAAATGAACTTTTTTTTTCAATTGTGGAAAATTTCCCGGGCTTTTCAGTGATTGCCAGGAGAATTCTCCATCTCCGTTGAAAAAATTCTCGAAAATTAGAAAATGAAAATTTTTGGAAATTCAATATTGTCAAAAATTCAATCAATTTATTTTCAATTAAAAAGAGGATTTAAAAAAAATAATATTCGAGGGCTCTTGAAATTTCTGAAGGGGCGGCAAGTACGGTTGAAGCTCCCCACTTTTCAAATTATAATTTTATTTTGCAGTAACAATTCACACAATTCAATGAAACACTGGAAACACAAGAAACCCGGAAGAGAAAAATTGAAGAAAAAAAAAACATGAAATAAATGCATTGTTTGCAGCTTCGGTCAGTAACCTAGATGTCGAGCTCTTTATCTCACTCTTCGTTCATTTCCCCTTCCCCTATTCATTCCACCCCATAATTATCCGACGAAGAACCCTTGATACCAAGCGCCCGAGAAAAAATATAAGATGGAGTGAAAAAAAAATCACCTCGCGTGTGTCAGATCATCTAATCGCAATAGGTACACCCCAATTATCCATATGACTCGCCCCGGACCGTGTCGAAGGGTGGCTATAATAACCCAAGGTTTTATTACGAAAAATCTGCAATTTATTCTAAAATAGAAAAAAAAAATCTCAAAATTTCACGGAATGAAAAAAAACGGATTTTTTTAATCTTCAAAAAACCCTTTGTTGATTTATTTATAATTTTCACGTGAAAAATGCCTCCCACAGAGGGAATTTTTTTCAAGTTACACCAATTAGTCCACTTGACACAAGAGGCCACTTAAACAAAAAGCAAGAACAAAAGATTTTTTTTACTCTCGGAAAAAGAGAATAATAAAATAAATGAGAGTTTGCGACACTGTCGTTGACACAAAGGGCCGGGGGTATTTCGATTAACGGTGTCTAAATAACATTGTCGTTCAGCCAAAGGTGTACCTCAGTCTCTGGTGAAACTTCTCGGGGCTTTGCCCAGGGTCTCAAAGGCAAAAGCCCACCATCTATTTTACATAAACGTTTCGTTAGTTATTTTTTTTTTTAACAACTCCTTTAATCCTCTACCGTGCAAACACACCGTCAATTAATGTTTCTCTTTCACCTTGGCTCTGAGAAAATAGGGGAGAACCATCTGTTCGTGGAAATAATATTATTCTATTCCGCGTCCGTGAGTAATTCCAACTATTTCCAGAAATAATCAATCAACTACTGAAATAAATTCCCTTTGTCAAGTGACATTGCCCCAGAAAAAGTCGATTATCTCGGGTGCTATCGGAGATATCCAGTCGAGTCACGTCCCATTAGAAAGCTGAGAAAATTTTCGACGACATTCAAAAAAAAATTCCCCATTTCGCCCCAGTAGTTCCGTCGAAAAGTCAAAGAAAAAATTTGGCGCCCGAGAGGTGCGGTCAAGGCTCACGCCAAGTACGTTCTCCATTTTTTGGAGATCTACCGCATCAAAACGGACGATTTTTTTTTTCATTTCGTCGCAAATTTTCCGAGCTATCTATTGAACCCATCGCCATTTCCCCATCGCCTACAGTTTCTCCCACATCGACCAGAACATAACCTCAAAATTTCGAAAACCAAAAAAAAATTTTTATCTCGCCTTCTAATGAAGGCCTGCGAACAAATTGATCAAGTGAACAAAAAATCTCCCCTAACGGACCTTCCCCCCCCCCCCCCATGCCCATAAACTCAATTTAAAAAACAAGAAGAAAGAGTCGTAAAACCCCCGTGAATTGATTTATCAGCGATATTTTTTTTACTACTCCCCATTCCATTCCCCCGTTGAGTAACGCAATTTCTGCAACCGTCCAAGGGAGTCGTAACTACCGATGGTGGCCTCTCAATCCCCCCTCCTGCCCCGCCCTCTTTCAACCCCCTTGAAAACTCGATTATCTTCGTATTCCCTTTTCTCTAACGTACGTACGTGAATTCAGCCATCTCTTTTCCACACTTCTGGACTCAATTGACATCCCTCCACCAACATATACCCAGGGCAAACCTTAACCAATTCGTTTAGGGGTAAAAGCACTTTGCACCCCTGACGTTCGATTTCTGAAACGATTTTATCGATATTTCATTGAATTTGTTAGTTCAAAAATTGGAAAAAAAATCGCGATATTTATGATTTCATTCATTTTCTGTGAGATTAAATCATCAATATCTCCCGATCGAGTGATGCGATTTGGATGAGTCAGTGCTCATTTTGAAGCTCGAAAGAAAACCTTCAAAATGAAAAAAAAGTCGTCAAATTTCACTCTACCGATCTCGAGTAATTGATAATTGAAAACGATCCATCATCCCCTATCCTTTTTTTAAAATTATTTATCGAGCTTTATAAAATTGTTGCAATTGAACTCATCGTGAAAATTGATTTATCATTCAATCAATAGCCCATTCTGTGCATTTCAAAGGCTCCGAACGGAGGGAAAATGAGTCGCCTACTCCATTTCACTTATCCCCTCCATCGCTGCACGACAAAAGGATGTAGTAAAGTTGCAGTGAAAACGGAATGCCTTTTCTCTCCCTCGGAGCCCTCGTCTTGAGTCCGACGATTTAATTATCCGTAGCAACCCCTCTCCCCTCCCTCCCCCCCAGACGCTCTTTGTCTATGAGCATCATGACGGTGAAAAAGAAAGAGTGAAATAACGAGAGAAAAAAAATAGAAATGAGAGGGAGAGCGAGACAAAGAGCCGAGACCCTGCGTCGTAGGCAAATTAATATCCTCTGGGTTTCCTTCTCTACCACTAACGGAGTGAAAAATGTCTATTTTCTTCATTTTTATGTGACAAATGTGTTGTTCAGGGGGAAATGGAGATCATTAACTCTCGCCAGTTGAAATTCATTCGGGCGATCGATAAAAATTATTGAATAAAAACTGGATTATCTCGGGAACTAACGGAGATGGAGGATTGAGTCACCCGTCAAAATAAAGCTGGGAAAATTTCCGACGAAATGAAAAAAAAAATTGCCCATTTTGGCCCAGGGGTTCTGCAGAAAACTCGATAACAAGATTTGGCGGCCTGGGAGTTGCGGTAGTGTCTCGCGCCAAGTACTCTCTCGATTATCGCAGGATCTATTGCTTCAATGGGGACGAATTTTTTTTTCATTTCGTCGGAAATTTCCTCAGCTTTTCAATGAGCGCCGACTCGTTCATTTATCACCGACGAGTCTCGAGATATCCGCGATAAACATAACCTCAATTTTGAATTTCACTCGACCGAATGGTTTCAACTCGAAGAAAAAAAAAGTATTTCACACAAAATAAAATCAAAAATACACGAATAAAAAAAAAATATGACCCACTCATTCTCAAGGTCATGATACTGTAACTGACAGAATACACAAGTTTAAAAAAATGTTAATATTTAATACTTGTCGGCGGGACGTGCCCCGTCGAGCGTGGCAGAGTCTGTAAGTTGAGTTTAATGCATGTTGTTTTGTCTGTCCTTGCATGCAGGGATTCGGTTTTGTAACATTCGCGAATAGTGCCCATGCGGACCAGGCACGTGAGAGGCTACACGGCACCGTGGTTGAGGGCAGAAAGATTGAGGTGTGCATGAAAAAAAAATTACTTTTTTCTTATTACTTATATAAATATATTTAAATCTAAAAAAAATAATTTTTTTTTTACATTTACATGATACATAATACATATTTATATCGTTATCTAATATTATGAGATAAGATTCATTCATTCATTCATTTTATTTATCATTTTTTCATTATTTTCACTGATGAAAGTTTTGTATTTAATTTTTTTTTTCTTTCATTTAATTTGTATTTCACAGGTTTGAAGCACTGGCGCCTGCACGACATTAACACGTGCACGCGTCCTTGCTTGTATGTATTTTATTGATTAATTTTAATTAATTAGATAGGATAATTGTTGTAAATAATTATTAAGATGTCAGTGTCTTGATAATTATTTTATTTGTCGAGGAAAAGTTGCAAAAAATTGACGAAAAATTGAAGGATTTTGTTCTCAGACAAAATTGTACAAATTTTTTGCAATTTTTCCTGATGTTCAATAGATACTAGAGTACTTTAGTACCCGGACAAATCGCAGGCCCGAATGAAAAAATTTAAATATAGTGAATTAAACGAAAAGGAGATGAAATTGGATTTTATAAAAGGAAAAATCTCTTATTGTCCCTTGTAGAGCTTCTCGCGAGGGCGATTGAATTGTTGCGAGATTATGAGAGAGATGAGGACTCTTTATGATTGAGATATCTCGTTTAGTCTCGAGAGGGAGCGAGTGAGAAAATTAATGAAAAAGAGAGAGAAAAAAATTCAAAATGAATTTGTTAAATTGATATTTAAATTCATCTCTCTCGATGTCTCGTGAAAGTTGTACTGGGCAAACTGAGGACACTGAGGAGGACCCAACCTCACGTCCAAAGTGTTACCCATAAAGGTAAGAATATGCGAAAGAATATCGATCAGAAATTAAGGAGCGATTTAATGAATGAAGAAAATCCTTAAAAATAGGAAAAGTTATTATGAGGAACTCGCACTGCCCGCTCTCTCACGATTTTTTTTTTATTCACACGTTATTTGTACAGATGTTTACTATCGAGGGTGCATTTTGTCTTTTACTTTAACATGTGGCAGGTATTCATTAACAATTTTTCATATCATTTTTTGTTTCGTTTATTCAGGAGTGAGGTGTCAATATTTTTATGAAAGCGCAATTATTTCGCTAGCGAATGCACTTATCGGAAAAAGTCACAAGACACTCTCTGTTGGGAATTCAATTCTCTACAAAAGTGTCCTATGACATTTCCCTGTAAAATCAATTGTTATCGAGATATTCTTACAAATATAACTTTGAAAAAATGAGAAATTGACGAATGTATTTTAGAAGCTTTGTTGAAAACGTAATTATCTCGTTAACAAATGCTCCCATCGAACAAAGTCACGAGACATTTTTTGGTGGTAATTCAATTCTCTACAAAATTGTCCTGTGACATTTTTTCGTAGAATCAATCGTTTCCGCGATAAACTCAAAAATATAAAATGTAATTTTCAATGTTTCCATCTTTTCACTCCTGAATAACTCAAATATTTCCTCAGTCAATTAATTTATTTCTCAGTGTTTTTCTTTAATCTTTTTCGTACCATGTGGCACTCGTATTTACGCTTTATTTATTTGTTACGTGTAAAGAAAATACTCATTTGTTGTTATGTTTTTTCCTCACTTGAGCTTTGGAGGTGAAATGCGAAGTAATTAACGTCACGTGAGAGTACGAGGGGTTTTTTTCCGCACCAGTAATGTGTTTTTTTTTTCTTTTACAATAGAGTACATGTTATAGTTCTCACTGTCGACAATTTGAATTGCGGAGTGTATTGAAGGCGTTGCTAGATTTGCGGCTGCGATTAACATCTCTCAACTTTTATTTTCATTCAGGGGTTGAGTGAGGGCTTTTAATTCTGACCCAAAGGGTGTATTTGATCATCGTTGGGCGAAAAAGAGTGGATTAACTGAACTTGGGTTCATTCCCTCGAATTAATCATCAAATTCTAAACTATTGAGACGATAGATTTTTTCTAATTGTGCAGCAATCACTCAACAGCTGAATCCCTTCTTCTTTAATTTTATAAATGAGGGAAAAAATGAATTTATTCGACACGCATGTGGGCACCGGGATAAAAAGTAAGTGTCCTCGTACGGGGAATTTACGGCTGTGAAAATATAAACCACCGGAAAAAGCTCGGAGAAAGGAGCTTGAGGGTGAGAAATATTTAGCACCCGGGGGATAATGAAATTCCAAGTCTTGTCATAGCGGGTAAAATAGCCTATTTCAGGAGAATGTAAAAAATTTTTTTTTTCCAGTGGGAAGAGATGTGACAGTGAATAGAATTTTTCCGATTTTACGCGCAAGAATTATTTCAATTTTTTTAATTAATGAATTGAAATTTTCTGAAATTGTTATTCTCATTGCAAAACGCAATTGCAGATGTCTCAATTTATCGACTATTAAATTTTCGTGTTACGATAAATGATTGGCTCATGTTCTGATTCCTATGCTCACTGAATAAGATTTTAATTCTCATTACAATTACACTTTAGAGTGTAAATTTTTGGAATTCAATGTTTGTTGATACTCTGGTAAAAGTGCGTGCCCACACTGTTATCATTTTTTAGTTAGTCCACACGGTAATTGAATTAATCTGTTGTTCATCTCATGAATATAATTCCGCGGTTAGAATATTGTCATCTCGTGTTTCTCAGCACCTAATTAAAAATTAAAACTTCATTTGGAATATTGAGTCACAGCTTCTTGTTTTCATATCAGAAATTTTTTATTTGGATATTAATATTATTTGTTCAAAGTGAAAAAATCTATCATCATTTTCACTATATTGCGTTCAGATTCTCCTATCCTCAACGTCAAAAATGTGAGATAATCTCATAATTCTAGCTGTTAATTCTAATCGACTTTGTTCAAAGAAAATCTTAGTAAACGCAATATTAAGAAGGTAGAATTATTATTTGGACAATTGTGATTCGTTTATTAATGTTTCATAGAATAGCATCTTCTCCCAAAAATCTACATCACCTCAAAATTACAACTTCATATCCCACTCCCTTCAATTGATCCATTCATAATTAATTAACTCATCCAATTTGTAAAACGACTCTGCCATGTCGACCACTTCAACAAATTGAATTAATTAATACCGCAGTGACGAATGAAAAATGAAAAATCCAGTTATCGTCAAACTCGAACATTTCACCTTTCCGAATCGTCAGAGAATATTTCCAACATTTCAAACGGACTTTTCAATAATGCAAAATTCTGTATGAAAATGGCCCAGCTCAATTAGGGAATCGATTAAATAAACAAGGATGATGGGCGATTGCGGGAGGCGATTGCCCAGCCCCCGACCCCCGCTGAATAATCCACTCGCGTTCATGCATCCATGACATAATATGTTTTCTGGAATAACCCCTGTCTTAATTAATAATCGATTTTCCTACTTTATTGCTACCACCGACAATATCAACCGCGATTTTCACGGTCACGTCAGACTGCAATTTCTTATCACGAACATTTGTCGTATTCTTTTAAAACGTGTGATAAAAAAAAATAACGATCATTAGCAGTAAAAACACCGTTCAATTTTTTCACACTTGGACAAAAAAAATGAAAAAAAAAAAAAAATTGAATTGAAAAAAAAAATAAAAAAAATTGAATTAAAATAAAATAAAATAAATAGTAAAGCATTTTTTATACTCCATGAGGCTTAAAATCTTTTTTCCAACGAATTATTGTTGACAATTATTCTCGTATTATTCATTTAAACAAAATATTTATATCAATTATTCTATTATTGCTCAATTAATTTTACCAATCACGTTAATTAATTATTTCAACTGCCTCATTTTCACCATTGATAATCCATATTTTTATCTCTCATAAACAATAAAAATAATATTAATATTAATGATATTTTTATGAAAAGTTGGGAAAAAAATTTTAACTTTATTGCGAGTCCCAACGGAATGAATATCATTTCTCTGGCTTCATGATCTGGTTGGGGCTGGCGAGGAGAGAGGGTTTTCATTGAAATCAGTGACATAAAAAAATAGTGCACGTGTTTTATCCATCGGATGCGAGAAATAGAAAAAAAAAAAGAGGAACAAAAAAAACGAGAAGGTAAAAAATCGGGGAAACGAGGAGGAACGTGATAATGGAGAGTCGTTGGGTTGGGTTTTGAAAAAAAATTTGTAGGCTTTTATTCGAATACACCCGCGCGACCTTTGACGAGGTAAAACTGCTGGGTTGCATATGCACGTCGTCAATTCCACTCCGGTATTACAGTAATGAACACTCTTTGTGGACTGTTTCTGCGTTTTTAGATTAAAATTTGGCCCGGGGGGGGGGAATTGTGGGGTTGGAAATGTGTCCTGTGAGTGCTGGAACGATCGAGAAAGAAAATAAAAAGAAAAAGATAATATTGAAAATTGGTGAACGAAAAATTTTATCGAGCGAAAATGAAAAATTTTCATCAATTAATGCCAGTGAAATTTTTTTATTAATTCGCAAATTGATTTAAATGATTTTTAATCTTTGGGGATATGAATCATTGCCACTTGATTGATTACAGGTCGTAAATGGAAATGAATTTGCACATAAAAAAGGAATTTTATTTCATGGAGAGTAAAAGCCCAGTTGAAATGCCCAGGTGACGGAAGGCCGTTGTAATATGCTCGGCGTCATTTTTTATTCGTTGAAATTCCGTGGTTAAGCTCCAATTTCCGGGTGAATTATAGACACGAAAAGCTCATGGTTGTGCTTCGACAGGCTCACAGGCTTTACCCTTCATGTACGTTTCATCAGGTAGGGCCATGGGGGGGTGG